GCACTGAAAATGTCAGAAACTGCTAGTAGCGGTGTTCAGCCATATATGTTCGAACCGGTGTCGTGCCGAATCCTGCACCCTGCCAGATTATTTATGAATTACACAGATGGGGAGCACGGCGCTATAAAAATAACAACATAGCTGGTCTCATGGTGCCATCGCGTGCTAACACGAACTTTATAAGTCCCGAATATGATTATGAGCTAGACAAATTCAAGCGGTCAATTTCACATTGCTTTTATATGCAATTTTTAACTACCACATTCCTATTCACGATCATTCTGGTAGCATGTGAAGGCAGCATCAGTGAAAACAGACAATGGTAGCTTTAGCAACATTATTAGCCTTACAGAGTGCCAAGAAGCTCAATCAGAAAGGCAATTTGGAAAAGAAACGCGTGAAACTTACTTCTTCTAGATGGCGGAACGTTAGCTGAATCACGAACAGTTGGCACTGCTCCATCCTTCAGGAGCAACTCTTGTGCAAAACCTGCTTTATACTGACCCACATTCACAAAGCAGTCCGGTGTAAAATGATTCGTGCAGACATAAACGAATTTCCGGACTGTGTACAACTCGCTGTGAACTCGCTCAGTAGTGAACAGCAGTGTCTGTCAACATTCGTGGTCGGGGCCTGTGGCTAATGTGACATCACATTAGCACCAATGCTAAAAATAGGCCATTGGGAGACACTGCTTATTATTTATGGGGATTAAACAAAAAGGAGTGGGTGGATTTTTATCATTATAGGGTGGTTGTGTACACACACTGCCAACACACATTTATGTCCAAACACCTTGCAACAGTGAATTTTGCATAATAGGTCCCCTTTAAATAAGTGAGTGGTAAAGTGAGAGAGACGAGGGAGAGAGAAACCTGATCAAATAATAAAAAAGGAACGAAACAAAAAGAAAATGATAAAAGTAATAAAAGATAGTAAAGTAGAATTAATAATAAAGTAGGATTAACAAAAATAATACTAAAATACAGAAATAAAACGGCAGGTAACTAGAATGGCGAGAATGATAATAATGACTGAAGAAGCAGAAGGAAAATTAAAAATAAAACAAATTGAAGTAGATACTTAAACAGCCTGCCCTCTAGCGTTAGTTTAAGGTTCTGTGCCTTAACTCCAATTGTGCTTAAAACTGATCACGTTTAGTGTGAGATTACTCTCATTCTAACGGACAATTTATTGCAGCTATCACAAGAACAACGTGACTTAGATCCAACAGATTCTTACAGTTTGTGCAACTTAACTGCACAATGATGTGTGGCAGGATTTCTTCGCTGCCAGGCGCATAATATAAGAACACAAATAAATTGATACCGAGTTTGCTCACAAACAAAGTTTGAATGTTGCCACGTTCTCCACCAAATATGTAGCAAATTAGCTAAAAAGGGAAATATTTATAATCAATTATAACTGGTTATAATTAATGATAAATATTTAGATTAGATCTTAGAATTAACTGTAGCAGAATCAATATTACAAGAGAGAGAGAGAGAGAGAAGACCAAAGAATGGCAGTATTTAGCATCAATTAACCACAACCTAATAAGAATCATCAGAGAATCAAAAATCACCTTGACAAAGGGGCCCAAACTTAGACATGCATCTAACTAGTTGGAAACGGTTACTTGCATTGGCTTTGTTGCTGAACAAGATTCCCGATGCGGTAGACACGGAGGTTCTTGATGAGTTCTTTAGGAGTGAGCTGGAGGTTTTGCTCTGGTTCTTCTGAAGATAGGAAAGTCCACAGCGAATCGACAAAGTTACTTGAAGAAAACAAACCGCCGGAAAATCAAACTCGAGGAGAATTTTGAAGAGTCTTGAAAAGTGTCTGTCTCAAGAAGAAGGGTTTTTTTGAGCAAAGAATAGTCTGAGTTAATGACTTTTGATTGAGCGGGAGAAGTTTTCTGTCTCCCTTTATGGCTCATTTGCATGTTTATGGCCGGTCTGGAGGATTGGTGGTTTTACCCAAAATATAGTACAAATAGTATGATGCCTTTCACGATCACATAGTGTACATCATTGTTTGAGGAATAAAGAGCAGATCATTTTGATACCAAGAAAGAAACATCTAGAAGCTATTAAACCAGAGATACATGCATACACCTGAATATGAGCATTTAGAGCTTAACTAATACAAATAACAAGTGGTAACTAGGCTAATATAATAGGGAAACATACAAACAACACATGCATATACCAGATACATTTGTAACTGATTGATTATAGTCTAAATAAAGAAAATGTCTTTATGTGTGTGTGTGTGTGTGTGTGTGTGTGTGTTATGTGTTGCATTGCGTTGGTGCCTGGCACCGGGGTCATTTACGTCTCTTTGGAATGTGTTTGAAGTTCGATGGGGAGACGAGAGTGGTGAAACTATTTAGCATTTCCTTGATAGTGGGGGGAACCATTGGCAATTTAGCACCCATATAAATGTAGAATGTGGGGCCATGTCTGTAATTTATATGCAAATGTCAAAAGGCTAAAAGGGGTCTATAATCCATATAACCCCAATTATCATCCATGATTTTAAGCAGATGCTACAAAACGTACGAGTCTCAGTAACCCGACCCTGTCTTCTTCCTTCCACTCTCTGAACCTCATCACACTCACCTATCTCAAATCAAGAAAACTTTTATCAATGAGTAGCCATCCAGGATGGAACAGCTAGATGAATTCACAGTTCACCCTCACTGTTCTCAACTCTAGATATCCGCTAAGCTGATCATTCAAGACTTTGATGAAAGACTGCAACATCCATGAACAGAAAATGTACAGAAATATTCACAGAAGTGCAACAAAAATATTTGATACTGAGAGGAAGTTTAGTTTGGAACTGATCTAACATGAACTAACAATGATCAGTTGTATTTCTTAACTGATGTTATGAAAAATAATAACTCCTGTAATAAATGCACCTATTTCTCATTGTTAATATTCGTTAATGCATTACCATCATAACAAGCATGATAAAAGCATCAGCAATTACCGTGATATGACAATTTCATACTCTGACATGTCTAGTATGTATGTGGATTTCTTGCATGCATTTGTGCATTTCTGTGCACAGATGTGAGTCTATTGCATTTGTGGGAAGTTTTGACATGGCTTTCACTCCATGCCAAAAAAAAAAAAAAAAAAACAGCAAACCGACAGAGTAGCCATCCAGGATGGAACAGCTAGATGAATTCACAGTTCACCCTCACTGTTCTCAACTCTAGATATCCGCTAAGCTGATCATTCAAGACTTTGATGAAAGACTGCAACATCCATGAACAGAAAATGTACAGAAATATTCACAGAAGTGCAACAAAAATATTTGATACTGAGAGGAAGTTTAGTTTGGAACTGATCTAACATG